ACTGGGATCCTCGCCCTTGCCAGTCCTCATGACACACACTATCGCAAATAAGTAAATAAACAAATAGATGGATAATAAATGAATAGTGGATTAATCCCAGACAGTTCGGTTGGTTGTGCGAATAACGTCGGCAAAGGGAAAAGAGCTCTGTGATTTTTCGACACGTGTCTCACTCGCATTCCTAAACTGTGTGTTGTTTTATCTCTCTCTCTCTCTCTTCCGTGTCGGTTGAAGATACGAAATTATTTAAGTTATACCTCCTCTCTCTGAGCTTAACTCGTTCATAAGTTTCAAATAATAATTTCATTTGACATATTCATTTTTCTCTCACTCTCTCTTTTTTTTTCTTTCTTTTCAAATGATTTATTATTTTTCTGATATATTTTTACTTTTATATTGTGGTGTGTCTTTTTTATCAACTCGGTTTGAATTACTTAATAAGTTGAATGTCAAACCGTTGCTTTTTTTTCTTCACAAAATTAAACTAAACTCAAATAAAAAAATAAATACAGTTTGTTTCTTTATTTCATTTTATAATCTTCATGTTTGTAGGGTATTTTTCATGTCAACAAACACAGAAATAAAACCGAGTAAAGAAAAACTGCTATTGCCACCACAGTCTCTCTCTCTCACTGCACTAGCGACACTGCATTCGATCACCGCTTCACTAATTCATTGCATCGAATACTGCTTCGTTTCGGGATTCGAAGCTTCATCGACTCGTATCAATTTCAGAACCACAACGCTTGTCTTTTTTTTTTAAATCTTATTCGCACAACGCTTTGTTCTTCGAATATCCGTCCTTTCTCTCTTCGTTCGTCGACATTTTCTAGCCTGCAAAATAAGAGAAAAAAATGATGATACTATTTATTCAAAATACATCATTAATCACAAAACTTTCATTTTCCCCAAAAGCCCCACTTAATGAGGACACACGAACGGGAACAGTAAGTCGTAACACCGAAAAATGTTTCCCTCGTAAATCCAAGTCTAATGATGTGGATATCGGTAAACAACAAACAATTTCTGGATGAGTAAGTACTGGCTGATTATTATATGATACTAATCAGTGAGAGTGATTAAGCGTGTAATATTTATTTCGATGTTGAAAGATGATGATAATTATTTTGAGAAGTATTACAAGCTTAATACTAATTTTAGTATTTAGTTAACTTATAAAGATGATTTATTAAAGTTGACGATAACTATGAAACGACAACAACGGTAATGGTAATAAATATGACAATGATAATAGTACTTATTTCAACAGTGATTTTAATGATGGTAATGATAATCATGCAATTATAATAGTAACAGTAACGATAATGATGCTATGATAATGGTAACTATAATGATAATAATGATATTAATGAAAATAGTAATAATGTTTATGGCAATAACAACAATACTATTGTTAGTATTATATGACAAAAATAATGATAATGACAATATTGATAATAGTAGTAATAATAATGTTAGTATTAATAATTTTGATAATGATAATGATAATGGCAATAATAATAGTGATAATATTATTAATATTACTGCTACTACTAAAAGATCAAAAACAACAACAACAGCAACAACAGTGATAATAATAATAATATTAATAATAATGATCATAATAATTATGATAATAATAATAATGATGATGATGATGATGATAATAATAATAACAATAATAATGATAATGATAACAATAATAATAATGATAGTAATAATGATGATGATGATGATGATAATAATGATGATAATAATAATAATAATGATAATGATAATAATAATAATAATAACAATAATGATAATAATATTAATGAGAAGAAGAAGAAAAACAACAATAATAACAAAAATATCAATAACGATAACAGCAAAATATCAACACCAACATAAGAAAAAAGAAAGAAAGAAAGAAAAAAAAATGTAGCAGCATGTTCAAAACACGTAACGTATGAACTACAAGTCCAGCATATCTCTTTGTTGCTTGAGAAATCTTTCATCCACAGAGGAAAACGACAAAAAGAAAAAGGAAGAGAGAGAGAAAGAAAGAAAGAGAGAGAGAGAGAGAGAGAGAGAGAGAGAGAGAGAGAGAGAGAGAGAGAGAGAGAGAGAGAGAGAGAGAGAGAGGATGATGAAGAGAGATAGAGAGAAAAAATAACGAACGAGAGCGGGAGAGAGAGAGAGAGAGAAATAACGAACGAGTGAAAGAGAAATATATAACCCAAAGGAAACAGATACCGAAAGACAGACAGACAACGAAAGAAAACCAAATACCTAAAAAGAAACAAATTCCAAAAAAAAAAAAAAAAAAGAAAGAGAAAAAGAGAGAAAAAAAAGACACAGGCACCGAAAGAGAGACGCATCCCCGCCGTGCCCTGAGGAATGCCCCCTCGCCAGGGTGTATCCGCGAATGACAAGAGCGAAAACAAATAAACGAGATGCGACCCGTCAGGAGCCGTGGCAGGAATGTCAAAACGTAAACAGAGCAAGGGCGGGACGTTTGAAAAGTCAATCACGGGTTGTGAGTGTGCGTGGGAAAGGACGGAGAGAACAGAGGGAAGATTGCGTTGGGGGGGAGGGAGGTTCTGGCCTTTGTTTGGCGGTGTTTTTTTTTTTTGTTTTTAATTTTCATTGTGTTTTTTTGTTTATTGTTGTTGTTATTATTTTCTTTACTAGTATTTTATCATTATTGTTATTGCTATTATTATTATTATTATTATTATTATTATCATTATTATTATTATTATTATTATTACTATTATTATTACTATTTTTATAGTTATTATTATTATTATTATTATTATTATTATTATTATTATTATTATTATTATTATTATTATCAGTTGCCATTATTGTTATCATTATTATTATTATTATTTTTATTATTGTTATTATTGTTATTATTATTATCGTTATTATTATTAGGATAATGTTATTGCATTATATGATTAAGAGATTTCATCTTTCAATCAGAGATTTGATTTTTTTCGTTCGTTGCGAATTGTTATCAATTCTTAGATACAGATATACATTAAATCGAATAAGAAACAAACACGCCGCACAAACAAGATAGCAAACACACACACAGAGAAAGACAGAGGAAGAAGAAATAAATAAAAAACAAACAAAGGAAAAAACAAACAAACAGCGACTGAGAGAAGACAAAAGCGGGGGAAAAAAGGGAAGTATTTCTTTCAAAAATTAATTTCAAAGCCATTTCTTGGCACATAATTCTCCCCGAAGAAAAATATATTAGGAATGACTTGACAGTTGGTGTTCATAATTCAGTATCTCGTGTTTTTTCGCTTCTCTCTCACTCTCTCTGTTTCTCCGTCTGTCGCTCTGTCTCTCTCTGTCTATCTTTCTTCCGTTCTCTCTCTGTCTCTCTTTCTTTCGTTCTTTGTCTGTCTGTCTCTCTTTTTCTCCGTCTGTCTCTCTGTCTCTCTTTCTTCCGTTCTCTCTCTGTCTCTCTCTCTGTCTCTTTTTCTTCCGTTCTCTCTCTGTCTCTCTCTCTTTCGTTCTCTCTCTGTCTCTCTCTCTGTCTCTTTTTCTTCCGTTCTCTCTCTGTCTCTCTCTCTTTCGTTCTCTCTCTGTCTCTCTTTCTTCCGTTCTCTCTCTGTCTCTCTCTCTTTCGTTCTCACTCTGTCTCTCTTTCTTCCGTTCTCTCTCTGTATCTCTTTCTTCCGCTCTCTCTCTGTCTCTCTCTCTTCCGTTCTCTCTCTGCCTCTCTCTCTTTCGTTCTCTCTCTGTCTCTCTTTCTTCCGCTCTCTCTCTCTCTCTCTGATAATAAATTTTCTTCTATGTGTTTGCAATAATCGCGGATTGCATTAAATAACAAAATAACTGTAAAAATAACCGCCTGTTGTACATGGCGCTATTTTCACCGGTGGATTTTACTACTGCCGTCGACTACAAACAGGAGAGTAAATAAATGGAAATAATTTTACGATGTTTTGACCGGAAAGGAAACAAATAGATAAAGAAAAGATGTTTATTTGTTTCTGTATTTATTTCGTTTGTTTTCCTTTATATTTGTGGTTAGTTAGTTAGTTAGTTGTTTTTTTTCATGTGCATTTTCTTTTTGATTTTTAAAAAAGTTTTGTTTGTATATTCGTGTTTTTTTTCATTATCTTGCCTTACTTGTTGTTCTTGTTTATTTACTTCATTAATTTATTATTAAAAAGTTTGCTGTTTACTTTTTGTTTTGTTTTTTTGCATATATATATTTTTATCATTGTTCCGTTCCGAATTTACTTTCGTGTTTTTCTCCCTGTAATCTTTTTTTTTTTTTCTTTTTTTTTTTTTTTCTTTTTTTTTTGAGTTGGGAAAAATTAGGCAAATTCACCTCTCTTGAAGCGGTTCATCTTGAAGGATTTTTTTAAAACTTATTTTTTTACCCAAAATACTTTGCTCATTCGTCTTGGAAATATAACAGAGATAAAGGAAGAAAAAACATGATTTTTTTTTTTTAGATTTGTGTTTTTGTCTCTCATCCTCGACGAAAAATATGATGCCTGATTGCATAGGAATATGAAAATGAGACAAAGGGCGAGAGAGAGAGAGAGAGAGAGAGAGAGAGAGAGAGAGAGAGAGAGAGAGAGAGAGAGGAGATAGATAAATAGATAGATATAGAGAGAGAGAAAGAAAGAGAGAGAGAGAGAGAGAGAGAGAGAGAGAGAGAGAGAGAGAAAGGAGATAGATAAATAGATAGATAGAGATGGATATATAGACATATAGATATATATAGAGAAGGAGCGAGTGAGAGAGAGAGAAGGGGAGACAGACAGACAAACAAAAAAAGAAAATCCAAACAAACAAACAGAGGAAACGACACATAAAAAACAAAGGAGGCCAAATTCCCTCCTCCAAAGAAGGTGCTTCTGGCCATTTCCCTTGAAAATCGTGTCCCTGGCTTCCTGCTGCCCGGCGCTCTCTTGCCCGCGTTATTATTACGTCTTGGGAAGAGGGCTTTGAAAGGTATAAGGGGGGGGGGGGGCAAGAGGAGGTTAGGGAAGAGGGGGAGAGAGGAGGGA